ATCTGCCAATACAAATCACACCATAATCCTACTCGGCTTGTAACTTGTAAGACGATCCTATTCATTCTGAGGTTATCGTGAACATCATTGTCATTTCATACTTAAAACTGCTGTCCGTCATATAATATACCCAGCATTTCCAGCAAAATTAAAACCTTGACCCCTTCTCCTGCTTTCGATTCTCCTCTCTTTTCTATGGGATCCTATACATAAATGTACGAAAGTGTATTTGTGTACGAGTACCCCTGAACTAAAATCTCAAATCTTCTCAAAAGGTTTCACTATAACAACACACTTTTTCAACGGTAGGTTAAGAAATTTAGAAACTCCGAACTCACAAAAAGGGACCCACGTCGCCATGATGTAATTACGCACGGGATCAATCAAAGCCACTCTCTTCCACAAGCATTAAGCATCAAAAACATCAAGGGCTTTCAAGCATTTCATGATTACTATACTCAATTAAGCACTCAACTCGAGAAGATCAACGACCATTTTTGCCCCTTATAGTAGTAACGAGTGATAGAGGAGGTATACAAATAAGGTAGACAAGACCGCTAATCTCTTGAAGCGCCGGGATTTTGATTTGGTACGGGTCCCAACGACATGACTGGCAGTGCCGTACGTACCGATATAAGAATCCCTACGTATCCTATCCTACCAAATACTACTTGCGAGTCACAAGTATCGTGAGATTTTCCCCGCTCATCATCATTTCCATTTACAGCGGCATAATAAGACGTTGGAAGATCAGATCAACAAACTAAGGATACAAATCATGAAACTGTTTCCGATGCCGAGCGTTTACGACTCCTCGGAAGTAGGAAGAGGCGCTCCAATCCCTCTGTTCAAGTTTCATGTCAAATTCTAATCGGATCGCTTCTTCAAAGCGTCAAAAGTTAACACTCAATGAAGCCATACAGCTTTCAAGTCCTAACAATTTGACAAGTTCACTCGGGTTCGCTGTCAGTTGTTAACCCCTCCTCGAACATGATTTCCAAACCTCGGAACATACATTATCCAAGCTCAATGCTCATCAAACAAATTCTGTGTCCCCATGATGTTCCGCCTTTCTCACGTTGCCGATCCCATAGAAATACTTCCCTGCAAAATCTTCCTCGACGATTTAAAACGAATTACTAAATGCAGAGGACCCTGAAAACAACCCCTGGCTCTACTATCCATTTAAGACAACATAAAGTGGTGATAAACCTTATACCATCCTATTGGAGGCTATTATCAGTATGATGACAGCAGTGGTGCAGCGATGATGATGTTGAACATGTTGATCTTTTTTCTCTGCCTTAATGCCTTGGCCTACAGGATCAGGGATACAATTTAACAAGTCAAGATACCTCCTACCTCACTACAATAAGCATTTACTTATTAACAAGATCACTTACGAGTATCGCCACAACATAGTCGTTGCGTTTCCTCGTGCTTCAAAGTCTAATTCTTCGTATCGCCAGCACAGCCTTGTGATTCATCATTCGAATTATCAAACCCGAAAAGATTCAGCCGCATCAAGAAGACCTGTCAGCGAAATCGCCTCTTGCACAAACCAGAACATCCCAGAATGTCCATCTATTATGATTCACGAATGAGATTATGAGAAGCTTGGGCGAACCACAAACATCGGTCATTTTTCGGAGTGGGTGGTCCGACAATTGTCGGTCATATGTACTCCAATATTATTGTCCCAAGATTTCGTGATTTTACTTCCACTAAAATACGGACTGTGAACTGCGATTGATCCTTGAAGTAGCAAAAAAGCACAAACCACCAAACCGTCAAAGTGAGCACCACGGGATGGATCAACAAGTAAATAAACAATAATCAACATAGCGGTGAGGTGCGAGAGTTTGGAAAATCATTTGCTGAAAATCTTTGTAACTGTTGAACCATAAGAAAGATCAGCTTCTTACTATCATCTGTGCAGAGCGGCACTTTCTTTGGTTTATCTTCGTGGGTGGGAAACAAAATAAGCCGTACATCGGATTTGATGCACAGTATTCCCCGGATACACACTTCGTCGGAGGTCATGGGTCAATAGAGGGGACATTCAAAGATTCAAGAATGTGTAATCAAAGTGTCGTGAAGTTCCCCGCTGGCATGTATCCATTCTTCTACTTTTTGTGAGTGGGATTTTTGATAACCATCTGACTGCATTATTCGTTATTCTCCTAATCGTCGCTTCCCTAACACTCCAAATCGTAAGCGGATTAGCGAACGTGGATGAAGGGGCTGAGAGCTTGTTTTGTTCACACGACCTCTTCTTCTCATCCAACTTTTGAGGCTGAGAATTGATTTGCCCAATATCGGTGTATTTGCAGCCTATTATTACCCTTCACACAAAGAGGGCTTGATCAGATGGATTTACTACTTTATTTGTTTGTACGCACTTGAATGAGGTGAGGAACGGCAGCGCAATTACACAATCCTGACTATATCTCACGCAGGTGCGCAAGGCAACTATGTGGTACAGCATGAATATTTACAAGACTGAGCAGGCATACCACGTGGAAATGACGATTTGGCTATATTGGTTATGTAACGTTCAGCGTAGGTGGCGGAAGGACCCTGAAATATTTGCGTCGGATTGTCGAGGATGAGTAGGAGGTTTGAGATGATCAATTAGTTATTTCATTTTGATGATTTGATGAGTATTTCTATGTCAAACTTGAGGATTCGATGAGCAAAACTTGCCACACGATGGAATGTGCAAGAAAAAAAGCTTGACAAGCTATTTAATTGGTCAACTTTGAATTTGGAAATCAAGAAATTTTGTGGTGTTCTAATGCCTGGGGTTGATATCAGGGCATTTAAATGCAGCACATATCGAATTCGGTATGCAATTCCTATTATATTGAACGTGCTTGCCTTCCAAACTTCCACGATCCTTCCTTCTGCATAACGCTATGTCTAAAAAATGAATATAGGGCTCTTTTCTTCAATGACTCTCATAATTAGTACGATATAGCACGATTCGTTCACTACCATTAACCTTAATTAGTTTGGACCGACTGGCGGAAAAAGACGGAAGACGGAAACTAGGCCGTACCTTGAAAGTACTAAAACATACGTGCCATTAGTGAAGTGATTGAAGAAGGTTCCTCGGCAACATGGTTAGCGGGTGCAGTTTGGGGTAAGAGGACGGTGGAATTCGTAAGGGGGGCGCTTTTTTTGGTAGAAATGATTCGGCGGTGTCGGAGTGTGTTGGAATCTAAGAGTATGGAGGGAGGAAACTTATATTCCTAGTAAGTTGAACAACATGTAAGGAGAAGGAGTGTTGAAGGATGGTAGATTCTACGAATACAAATATGGAGTGTAGATCCGTAGTACTGGTGTTTCTCTATTGATACCACATTACCTTCGTTTGCTTTGTTTAGTGCTCTCCTAGTCTCTTAACCCCCTCAAACAACCCCCCGAACCGATGGCTACAGCCCAATCAATGCACTAAAGATACGATGGTCAATATCGAAATCTCATTCAACATGGGAAAGCACCTCGGAAAAAGATATTCATACATTATTTCACATCTTTGTAGGGCAGATTCGGGTAATCTTACTTTACCTATAACTCACGAGGTCACGTCTCAAGATTTTTAATGGGGAAGGAAAGAAAGTCGGAGAACTCCGTTCTCCCCTTTGGGAGCGAGCTGTGGGTAATGGGAGGGGATTTATATTATCTGGACCAATCAGGCGTGTGTATGGATATTTGATATTACTTTACTAGGGCAACTAGGGGAGACTAGAAATTAGCTTGCTGCCCAAATCGTACTCACCTGCGAATCTTTGATTTTTACAATGCCCAATGATTGGTGTTTGCTTGCATGGAGAGTAGTGCATATTGTTGAAATTAAAAGCTGAGTGGAAGTCATCTGTCGAGTGTCCGTGGTGAGTGGGATGAAGTCTTAACAGAATCCGAGTTAGACTTTAGGTTACCAGACCATTAACGGATAGAAATTGGCAATAAAGGTGCAGATTTAAGCATACATGTGCATGCACAAACTAATCACAGTAGCTGAATCATAGATTCATTAGCTACGGGGTAAGATACCAAGCTGCGCTTAGCAACACCACTATGTTTGGTAATCGATCCTAAAGCATGAACTAGTCTTTAGGAAATTGATAAATTGCGCATGTGGCGTGTTGAAGGAGGCGGCTGATAAGGCGATGTGTGGACTACCACGGCATCTTCATACATGGATGCCATGGTGGAAAGGATGGGTGTGATGTAGACTGGTTGAGTGAGAGTTAATTACTCGAATATAGCAGAGTGGTTGTTGCTAGGTTTAGCCCTGTGCTTTCTGACAAGTTGGAGAAACTAGTAAAGGTCGAAGATTGAGTTTGTGGGAGGATTGTTCGGATGTGAAGGGGTGAAGGGGTGAAGGGATGGTGGGATGGTGAGATGGCGAAATAAATTGAGATCAGGTGGGTGGTGGGTGGGAATAGGGCGGGAGAAGAGGGGGTGGGGTCGAACGGAGAGGACAAATAGTATTTGGCGCGATTGATTGACTAAGTGCTTTTTTTGAACCAAAAATACAGAAAGATAATGTATAGGCAGCTATCACATTGGATTTGCGTTTTTGTTGGATGATGACTTGTGCTTGAAAGTGAGAATCGGGGCAATCTGGTTGGTACTGTCCAGTAGGGACACTGCATAGTACTTTAACCCAAATCAATATCATAGGGTGATATCTCGGAGAATAATTATCCATCCAAAGCTGAATCAGGTGCAGTGTAAATGTAACAGGCACTGATTAGCCAACAAAATGTTAAATTGAACTGTAGGCATCATCACTCTCTTTACTCCGGGGAGTTTTCAATTTGCCAATTTGCTTGACGGTGTTTCGTTGAGATTGGCTGATGTTCCGTAGAGAACAGATGAATAATAAACCTTTAAATGTAGCTTCCACCGCAGACCATCCTAACCTCTGGTCCTCTGAAATTCGTTAACATAAAAACGCCATCCTCATTTCTGTGTACCGCAATTGCGCTCTAGATGCAATCAGTATCAACATATGATACCGTAGCCCCTGTAGTTATCGTGCCATTGATAGCCTGCGCTTGGGCTATGGGTGTATGTGTATTAGCATTCATTGAGTTACCCTCTTGCCCTCATAACCTCCGAGAGTATAAAGAGAAAACTTACCGCCACTAGTTGTTAACCACAATCTCTTCCCTTCCTTTCCTCCGACTCTCTCAAATGCGCCCGCCGTAACACCAGCCAGTACTGTAGATGTGTTACTACCAGCTACAGCTACAACCTCACTCATGCCCTGTTTCCACATGAATAGCGTATCTTGATCATTGCCACACAGGAAGATTGTACCGTCTTCACGAATAATGAAATCATCTGGACTCGTTACATTTACTAGTAATACGCTATCATTCGTTGGTGCCGCAGTGATCGGAGCGATAGGTACGCGGTTGAAGGTGCTTGCGCCGAGATTGTCGAAATAGAGATATGGGGAGCGGTAATGAATACCGTTGATTCCGAGATGTGCTTCTGAACTTGGTGGGATGGCCATAGACGAGAGCCTAAGGGGAATGGTATAAGAGGAGGTTGCGACATTGACGTTGTAGATTTGACCAAGGATTGAATCACTTATAAGAATGTGTTCTGGATCTAGAGTATCCATGCCGTTCAACAAAACAGATTCTGGAAGATCGACTATGTGGGATACTGTTGGAGCGGAAGTTAAGATACCAGCTTTGGAAGAGAAAGTGTTCAAGTCCACTTTGTAGATGGCATTAGAGTAATTCGTAGCCTTTGTGAAAACATCTGTGTAAGGTGTTTGGACAGCGACATAGAAGACATCCGAGAAGGGTGTAATTTCAGTAATACCTAGGACTGTAGAGCTGTGAAGTCAATATTTGCCCTTGTAGAAAGGCTTTTGAGGAGAATTGGGAATTTAGGTTCTCGTAGGGGAATCGAGAAGACATATAAAACGTAATATTAATATAGACAGGGTGACTGAGGGGTACAATGTGAGACAAGATGCATACGTCCGATGTAGGTTGTTGTATTGAAAGTATGAAGGGTTATAGGAGCCGTTTGGTTGGAAGGGTCAAGGAGTTGGAGGATCGGTGTATCGAGACGGGTAATGAGTAGTTGGCCGTTAGAACGGACGGCAATGTTCTCGGCCCAGGTTTTGTCTCCGAGAAATTGAAGCTCGGTGACAGGAAGTGGAAGAGACGCGGCCGAAGATTTTGTTAGAGGTGTGGTGCTAGCGAGAGAGAACAAAGTTGTGATCAAGAGACCTGTGATGTGATAAACACAGCGCATCTTGTGAATGTGGAAGAAAATTCAAGGTAACTGGAGTGACAGGAACACAATTGAACTGTTTCACAGGTAGGACATACCCAAACTTATATTTTTCAATTTGTCAAACCGCATTTATAACTATTGCTAGTGACTTGGAAAGTCCATGGGTCTAAGGCTAGGGTTGGACAATCAAAGTTCAGCTCAATCAATATTGATAGTTTCCTCCCTCGAATCAGTGGTACGGAATGGCTCCGTATGCTCCGTAAACTGCATAGCAAAGGCTGAATAAGCATTTTAAAAGAAAAGTTTACACTTGTTATTAAGCAAGAGACGCATGAAAATTGAAGATGTCTCAGATTTTGAACTATTGGAACTAAGATGAGTGACCGGGAAAGTATGCAAGCAACTACCAAGGATACCAGTGTGTGAAAGAACTCAAAGAGATGTGATAAAATCGCGGATTTGCTAGTACTTGCAAAGTACGCAATTCTCTGGTACGCTGAATTCGTCTCGCGCAGTCACGATATGAACGAACATGACATTACCGATTATAGTTCTCGCATGCCTTCCTGGTTGTTTTTACGCAAAAACTATTGCATTGAAGTACCTCTCGTAGCTGAAAATTTGGGAACAGTGGACGAATTTATGGTGACCAAACCTAGTATCGGTTGTCCTGTCTAAGTAGCCGAAACTTTCATACGAGCAGAAGAGACAATTGAAGTGACGGCTTTCGAATTACTCTTTCCTTATGAGAGCTAGTCTTCCGTGGAACTCGGCCGGCTATCTCAACCGAAGTTTGACTTATTGTGGTCATCCGCATTCATGACATGTCCCATCGTGCAAACATCGACAATAATCTTTATGTCTTAATCGAACTACAGCAACTTTGCTGAATGTTGGATACTACCTCAGATGCCAACCACCGTGCCAACGTATGATTCAATGCCGGGAAAGTAGGGAAATGTATGGTGTTCACTTGAATTCTCAGATTCTCGAGTAAATTCACTTGCAGCCCAGTATCGCAACTATCCAATACCATCAGCCTCACGTAATCGGTGGATTACGGTATGACAATCATCTATAACTGACTTGCTAAAGTCCGTCACAGATTTCGTGATGAAAGAAGTTCTCGGAACAAATCATTTACACGATGTCTACCTAGTAGATGTTGGGCTTGTTTTTCTGCAGTTGGTCTATTCGTTTCAATTCAAATTCCCTGCACCAAGCTCACTCAGAGGTTGAAGTGTACACCGCTTTTCCATACACTAACCTAATAAGATCGCAACTGTGGCAGAATCTGAACTGTCCCTTGAGCACCGCGAAATAATGTTCACAGCACAGAATGGAAGATGCGATGTCTTGAATGAAGTGTCACGACCTTTACTTAATTAATGAATTTTATGATTGTCATGATTTGTGGGAGCTGATAGTCAGTAGCGTTTGGTCCTTTCTAGAAACAATAAACCAATACAATAGGTCAATTGACCATGGAACAACCATCGTCAAGCTCAAAGGTTACAGGTAACATACTCTCAATGCCCTATGCCGTTACATTTACTAAGAACAATAAAGTGGAATATTTCGACCCTGATAATGTATATCCACTCTTATCGCCAGGACTTCTACCTCGACTTCCTCTACGAAACTTACACTGGGAATCACACGCTGGTCCGCTCCGTTCCATATCCTCCCTTCATGTCGACCTCATCAAACACAATCCAGACTCCGGACTAAGCGCACCATCAGTGCCCCTTAATTCGAGTGCATCCGATCTCTCAAGGGTGAGAAGTACAGACTCTGGCATCAGCGCAGATGATGGATTTCGCACACAGGCAATTGGCCAAGCTGCCGACAGGCCCCCTGCACTCTCCCGATCCAGTACGAACTCGGCCGTGAAGGGCCGCAGACACCAAATTCCCGGATTAAGACAGACACCGTACTTGAAGATTCTATTTCTGCGGTGTGATGATAATGATACATACAAGTCTCAGGGTCGGAAGCAGGTTCGAGAGTGGATAAAGGAGCACACTCCATCATCAACAAGCAAATCCACTTCACAGGAAAACCACGACAATTTTGAATTCCTTATTGTTCATGTAATCGTTCCGAATACTGCAGCGGCTACTCAGCCTCCTACGAGTGGGAAAAGTGCAGATGGTAGTTCTGGATCTACAAGTGAGAAATCTACGGCACGTTGGAGAGGCGGTGGATCATCTACCATTCTCGAGAAATTGAGAGCAGACTTCAATGGCTCAACGAAGTCTGGTGTTGATCGGATTGCTCAAATTCGCATTGGCATCAACGATGTTCCTTATAACATGCTTCCTCGTGTTGTACCGGCGATCCCTGGATCCTATACGGAAACACCACAAGAAAATGAGAATGCCTGGATTGATCTGATTTCGAAGCTCAAATTCTTGATATTGCAGTCATTTGACATGCGGGTAACTCAATATGAAGAGAACATTCGGGAAAAGGATAGTCAAAGAACTTTGCCTGGCTGGAACTTCTGTACATTTTTTGTACTCAAAGAGGGTCTGGCAAGAGGATTTGAGAGCGTTGGTTTGATCGAAGATGCCTTGGTGGGGTATGATGAGCTTTCCATTGGCTTGGACACAATTGTTAGAGACCAAGCTGCTGCAGAGCCTGGCATTCAGCACGGCGGCTCTTTCTTGCCTTACACCGAAGAACTTAAAGTGCAGGCAGAGCGGGCTAGAGAGGCAATTCTGAAAGACATAGGCTTGGAGGGCGCAGGATCAGACTCAGAGGAACCGATTGATCTGCAGTCCACGGGTGGTACTTCCGAGGAGGAGGATGAGATCACCATTGACGCATCGAGGAAAAGGTATCGGGAACTCATTCTTGCGAACGATGTTTCAATATTTGATTTTCGGTGCTATTTATTTGCTCGTCAATTAACTCTCTTACTGCGATTGGCAAATGCATGGTTTACACAAGAAGAATTACTCGCAAAGCTCAAAGAACAACGAGAATCAAGTTTACTTGGAGTAGCTGCTAGACTTCCAGCTTCACAACCTTCAGATGACACTGAAAATCTTGCTGTGCTTGGTGAAGTCTGTAAGCGAGCAATGGATTTTATCGGTGCTATATCAAATATCATGCGTGAGGATATCTGGAGTGCTTATTTCCATTCTCAAAAAGAGATTTCCTACGAGAAGGCAAAATCGGATTTTAAATCAGATCCCGTGATGAATCAAGTAATTGAAAATGTTGTTTCCTCCTTCACATTTTCTCTTGCTCAGCAGATACTTGCACAGACTTCTACAAAAGCATTGCCTATCCCAGCTTCGACACTGGCACCTCCCGGCGGCGGAGCGGAGCCCAAATCCTCAATCCCCGAACCTAAAACAATGATGCATCCTGCTAGGACGACTTCTCTTGCCCTCCGATCATCGTCTCGAGAGCCTCCAAGTCCCGGATTGTTTCCTAGTGGTCGAAGAGCCAGCGTACCTGGTCCTGGTGCGAGTTCGTCGGCCTTCCTCAAAAACGGGTTAGAGGACCTTGCTGCTCACCGAGCCGAACTCTATTTGCTCTCTCGGAGTGTTCTAGAACATATTGGTAAACAGCGTGGATGGACTGCCGGCTGGGAAGATGTGAATAAGCATCAAAGTGAGGATATGGAAGTCATGGAGGAGGTTAACCTTGATGAAGAAACGCCATCAAACAAAGACCAGACAACTTCTCCAATTCAATTTTCGCCTTCGCTAAACGGCATTGACAGCAAGTTGCTTCGGACAGCACTAGACAACAAGGCCGATTTTTATCGTCTCTACGAAACTCTTACTGATAAAGCACTCCGGCATTATACCGTAGCAAATCGCATTCAGTCTGTACAGACTAGCATCGCAGATCTGGCTATTCTCAAATATCATCTGGGGGACTATGCTGCTGCTGCCTCCTATTTTTATCGCATTACTCCTTTTTACGGGGATGCTTCATGGACACAAGTCGAAGTGTCGCTATTAGTAATGTACGCTAAGTGCCTCAAAGAGTTAAGTCGTAACGATGAATATGTCAAAGTCGTATTGAAGCTTCTTGCGAGAGTGGCCATGATGGAGAAAGACAGACTTACCAGAAAATCAGCTTTCAAGATCGGCCAAATGAGTACGTTTGACGAAGGAGATATTATTCTCAGTGACAAATACCTGAATGAATTGTTGCTGATAACACCAACCTTGTCCCGTGATGTTCACGTCCCACTGCAGGATTATTTTAGTAAGATTGAAGTAGACGGAACTCCTCAATATCATTCTGGTCAGGATAGTTTCGGCTTACAGCTTCGACTTCAATATTTGCTAAAGGAAGACTTGAACGTCGATAAGGCCCGAGTAAGGGTTATTCCGTTATTGGGCGGCCCTGGCCGGGAAATTTGGCTCGAAACAAATGATGCACGTTTATACAAAAAAGGGTGGAATGAACTATACGTTCAGAGTAATGTAAGTGAAGATAACACTCTTAATTTGAATATGTTCTTACGGTTATAGATCATAATCCCTGGCTCTTATCAAGTTACACATGTCATTCTCCACAGTAGCAAAATTATCATGGAGTATTCACACGACAGTATTGGACATCTATCTACAAGAGGAAGCGGTTTCTTCAAATGTCCGAAACTACTCCTTTACCACCGCGCAGAAGCCTTCAACGCCAAACTCTTTTCCTCTAGATGCATGCATCTAGACCAAAATCGGTCTTTAGAAATTGAGCTATCGTCTGGGTGGAATGATGTCAGAAATGGCCAACTTCAAATTCGTGCGGCAACAGCTGGGCTGCGGCTTCAAACGAGTGAGGTGGCGATTATCGACGGACAACTCGACATTTCCAAAAAGAAAGAGGCAGGGGTTGTTCACTTTGGTGCGATGGAAGCCGAGAGCATTGCAAGAATACGAGTGCCGTTCAATCTCGAACACGAGGTGAACGAGGTCACACTTCGACTTGAAATATCGTACACAACGAAAGATGGAGACTTTTTCTTTGCTACCACTTCTTCGGTATCAATCATGCTCCCATTGGGTGTCAATGTCCAGGACGTATTCAAGCATAAAGCATTGTTTTCAAAATTCACCATCTCAACATCCACAAATAGCCCACTTAGACTCCTTAGTTCTAAGTTGGAAAAGTCCGAAATATTTGAGGCGCATTCTGGACTTGGCCTAACACGACCTCTCACCATATTTCCTCGTCAACCAGCGTCTCTACTGTACAAAATCACAAAGACCGATTCACCTTCTTCCCCAATTACTCGACGGAAGTCTCACAGGCCGAGAACTTTATCTCTCATCTTACATTATATCTGTCTTGATGAAGAGGTTTATGATGTTGTGGCTCAAGTTCTGGGAGACTTTCTCAGGAGCAACTCCTTGCGACCATACACTCGCCTGATTGTACCTGTTGTCCTTTCGGAACTTCGATCAAATTTCTCGCCATACGATTTTGAGAGGGCCGCCATTCTTGGTGAGATACCTACTTCAGCTATCCTCAACATCAGATGGCATGACCATTTTTCGGGACTGGGAAATTCTATTGAACAAGACCAAGACACTGCTCTGCTCATTTGCAACATACTTCAGGAATGGCAGAAGCAAAATCCCGTGATCCCTTTACCGCTCCTATCCGTCGACGGGGCTGCAATCTCAAAAAGCCGATCGATTGTAATCCCCGTGGATGTCCCTTCGGTGATGGTGGTGCATACTGCTGACCTACGGCTACTTCAAACAGCATCAGTAGCTTCTAGTAGTGCTGTAGCAGCAGCAAACGAGCCAATACCAGCATCGTTGCACCTTATATCAACGAGGAACTGGGATACTGCATCTCATGATGATGCTACAAGCCCAGGGGAAGATATAGAATTTGTATACGAGGTCACGGGTCCGTCAGATACATGGCTTATTGGTGGTAGGCGAAAAGGTCACTTCAAAGTCCCTAGAGCTGTAGATGGAGGGAATCATAAATTGGCTTTCCCTATCGTGCTGATCCCTCTTCGGGAGGGGTTTTTACAATACCCTACTATAGAGATCAAACCACTTCCTGCTACAAGAAGTATCAGGCCAGGATCATCGGGCGGTGGAGAGGAAGGCGTGAAGAATAAATCACGGCCTGTAACTTGCGAAACTGACTGTAAGAATACCGGCGAAACCATTAGAATTATAAGTGATGCTAGGAAGACGACTATGAGTTTAGATGCTAGTGGACCGCAGGGCGGAGCTTGGTTGCTAGAAAGTGAGAGAAGACCAGCGGGTGCTGGAGGCATTGTGATCGATTGAAGACATTAGACTTAATATAATAATTTTGGAACAAGGATGTTTGAATGTAAGAGTTGTGGCCTCAGCTTATCGCACACCATCTTATTTCGTGACAAAATCCCTGCAAAAAAGCTGTTTTTTTTATATAAATTAATTTCTTTAATTATTTCATTAAATATTGAATTATTGATTTGAAAAATTGATATATAAAAGATATTAGTATTTTAAATCTAAAAAAATAAATAGAATATTTTTAATAATTTTTTTAGAAAAGTTGTTAACTTTTAAAATTGAAATTTTTCAAAAATTATTATATATAACACTTTTACCATACAAAAAAATCGATTTTTTTGAAATTTTTGAAAGTTTTGATTTCAAAGATCTATAACTTCTTCAAAAAAATTATTAAAAATATTCCATTCATTTTTTTAAATTATTTTATTAAATCACTATTGTAAATATTTATTAAAAAAATTTATTTCATTTTTTGATTGAAATAATATATAATTCAAAAGTTGAAGAAATAAGGGTTTTTGGTGTGTTTTCGCTTAGTGTGCGATAAGCTGAGGCTACAACTCTTACAAAATGAAATGTGATAGTGAGGTCCTACTTTTCGTATCAATTAGAACACTGAAGTTTTGCTTATATCGAGTGACAAATAGGTAGAAGACAATCCTCGTGCAGCTAGAAAGTACCTAGGTATACAACTCCGCCGCTAAGAAAACCAAGTTAGTCCCCCTGTAGTTTACCATCTTGTGGTATGTGTATCTAGCTTCGGAGTTGCATACTTTCTGGCAGCACAAGTAGTGTTCATTAGGTAAGATTATAAGAGCTGAGGGGAGCGGTGGAGTGGAAAGAAAATTCCCCGAGGAGTCAAGTAGATTAATTGCCGGAGGAACTAAAAGAGCGGAAAGGCGAATTGCACGTTCCCCACGGGCCCCTCCGTATAGAAACTCGCGGGGTTGAGAAAAAAAAATGGAGGATCAATTTGCCCGTCAATCTTGGCAATGATACCTCGAAAGATACGTTTGGAAAGGACTAGCAATGGTTAAATACAAATAGAATCTCTACCATAGGAAAACTAAGGATCGAGTACTGCAATATTCTAGGAATCGAATGACCGCATGTAACGTAAACGTAAAATGGGATTCTTTATCGAGCCGCGTATCAATGTTGCTTGACCGAACCCAGTTTCCTCCCCAGTTTCGTTAATATCTCGACCACTATCGGCCAATCGACTAGCCGTGTTTACTGCAGTAATCATCTAAACCTTGTGTCGTGCAGGTATTCCTAATGAGGAAATTATAGGTTCGGGGTCTCCGCTTGAAGTCTAAATCTAAAGGATGTGATTCGATTAAATCTACGAACGGCCAAGATCCAAGTACTACCTTGAATGCGAGGATGCTTTTTTCTTTACCTATAGAGGTAGAGGTGTTCCTAAGAATGAGTATAATATCTACTTCCTTCTCTCTTTGATTTTCTCGACTTCATACCTGTTAGTTTTGTTCTTTATTGAGGTAAATTGCGGAGGACTACTATTCAGTATGGAAGAGAAGTCTAGTCACGGTCCTGTGACAAGCTATCCTGAAGAGTCCACAGGTTATGGCGAAAAAGCTCTTCCAAACTACAATGGCAATGATATCCCAACAGAAGGCCTTATATTCGAAAATATCGATGGTCTCAAACGAGAACTTTCAGGAAGACAAATTCAAATGGTAACCATTGGTGGTTCAATTGGTACAGCTTTGTTCGTATCCATTGGATCGGGACTTACACAAGGTGGACCGGGATCTCTACTCATTGCCTTCATGTTATACAGTTGTTTTCTTGGATTGGTCAATAATTGTATGGCGGAGATGTCAATCTTCATGCCGGTTAGTGGAAGTTTTGTGAGGATGGGGAGTAAATGGGTTGACGAAGCCTTCGGATTTATGCTGGGGTGGAATTTCTTCCTTTATGGTGAGTAGTGTTCAATTGTGTCTGAGAAGTTACGAAGTATGTTGACAAGTACTAATGGGGATCTGAATCTAGAGGCTATATTAATTCCATGGGAGATTAGTGCGTTAAATTTGGTGTTGACTTTTTGGAGGTATGTATCTTTAGCTCCTTTTTCCAAACAAGCATCACATGTGGACACATCTAACGCAATAGGACAGTGATAATATACCCTTAGCAGCTGTCTGCGCTGGATGTATCTTTCTTTATGGGTAAGTTTCTATCTCAATCCCCAGGTATCATTTCTGACTAGAGTAGTGTTATCAATCTCTTTGCTGTTAAATGGTATGGAGAAAGTGAGTTTTGGCTGTCTGGTGGCAAGGTAGTGTTGATCGCTATGATATTTTCCTTCACATTTATCACAATGGTTGGAGGAAATCCAAAACATGATGCGTATGGGTTCCGTTATTGGAAAGAGCCTGTAAGTTCCTCGCATTTTTTGAGTTTTCCTTCGTCCTAATCAATGATGTGTAGGGTGCATTTGCCGAATACGTCACCACGGGATCTTTGGGTAGATTTGAAGGGTTTCTTGCCGCACTATGGAAAGCAGCCTTTACCATTGTTGGCCCTGGTACGTTAAATCATGCTGAGGTTATACGGAGAAATGTACAAAACATTTAGCCCTAACAATTCTCTAGAATACATTGCCATGATGTCGGGTGAAGCCTCGCATCCCCGCAAAAACCTCAAGCGAGCTTTCAAGACGATCTACTGGAGATTTGGAGTCTTTTTCATTGGAGGAGCTCTAGCATGCGGAATAGTCATTCCATACAACGATAAGAAGTTAATTGCTATCCTTTCGAGTGGTGGCTCGGAGACTGGAACTGCAGCTTCCAGTCCCTACGTTCTTGCTATGCAAAATTTGGGGATTGGCGTACTTCCGCATATTACAAATGCCTTACTTGTGACGAGTATCGTTTCCGCCGGTAACTCCTATGTGTATGTTGCCCTCATCCCCTACGCAATGATGTCCCAGAAGATACTGACAACACCAAAGCTACTGTGCATGTCGTACATTGTACAGTCTCTCGCTCGACGGACACGCCCCACGTTTCCTCCGCAAATGCACCAAGTCTGGTGTCCCCATCTACTGCTTTTGCGTCACCATGATCTTTCCCTTTTTAAGTTTCCTTGCCGTGGGCAATAGTTCGGCCCAAGTCATCACATGGCTCGCAAATCTTACCGAAGCCTCGCAAATCATAGATTACATTTGCATGTGTGTTATCTATATATTCTTCTATAGAGCATTGAAGGCTCAGGGTATTGATAGAAGTACACTGCCTTATGTAGGTTGGTATCAACCTTATTGTGCCTGGGCAGGACTCGCGGCAATGATTTTCACAGTGGCGTGTTATGGATACACTACGTTTTTGCCAGGATGTGAGTTCTCTTTGCACCCTCTCTCCTGCATGCTAAATATTCGAAATCTGGAAACAAAACTGACAAATAATAGGGTGGGATACCGAAACATTTTTCTCTTATTATACCATGGTATTCGTCTGTCCATTTCTCTATGGGGGATGGAAAATTGTCAAGAAGACCAAAGTTGTACAACCAGAAGAGGCAGATCTTGTATGGGAAAGACCAATTATCGATGCCTACGAAGCGACTGTGGCTGAAAAGCACATATCGTTCTGGGAGGAAGTAAAAGTTATGATGGGATTCGGAAAGAAGGAAGTGCATATGGAATAATAAAGGAATAATGGTGAGGGTACACGGTCCCGGATCACCACCTCAGAGAAAGGTTACCGCCAGTGGAATCTTATTCCCTTCACGATATTCCTAGGAAACTACTATTTCACGAATACCTTTGATGAATAATAGATGCTCGAGAATACTCTGCTCAAATCAGGGCAATTGATAAATATATGAGATGATGCCTTAGGCTTGATTGGGAAGTCTAGTCACTAGTGAGACTGCCTCAATCATAGTGAGCTCAATAAGAAGTAATGTCTCTCTCACTGCTCACCCCCCTCCAATTCAAACCCATCAAGTCTGCGTTTCAAGTGGCTTATTTTACCTACCGTCAACTGACTCTCGGCCAATAAGTGATGGATCTCAGAATCCACATTCTTCGACCTCAGAGTTAAACACAACATCTTCTTTCCCGTCTCAAGAACATCTTTGAATTTTTCCGTGGTTGCAATAGCCTCCTCACACTTGCCGCGCAACTCGGGAGACGATGTTCTTCCGCGGAGCTCCTGAATGCGAACTAATTGCTCATCTAGAGACTCGATTTGGATTTCAAAACGGTTAGTCTGCTTTTCATAGTCGCTGACCGAATCGGATTGCTTCAGATAATCCATGACTGCTCTTACATACAATACGCGTTGATAGATTCTCTGAGCCGGCGATTGGATTTTTTCTGGGGTGCCAGGATCGGTATTGTCACTGATCTTGGGTGGTGCATCTTCCAGTTTGTGTGAGGGGTCATTGAGGAGGTTGGAGGGGGTCTCGTCTTTTTGTGGGGCGGATGTGGACTAGAATGAATGTCAGTTATTGCTGATGAAATTTTTGGATATGAAACAATTAACACTAGACATGATTATGAGAACGATCTTATTATAAGATCGTAACGTACCTTTGTGTCGTTAGATGATGTCATGTTTGGATTCTGCTGATTGCTCTTCTAGGTGATCACTTCTGATTTGTTTGTGGAGACTGGTGATTATCTTAAAGAAAAAAAAAACGAACGAAAATCTAAAGCTATTTGGGACTTTATACTACCTTTCCAGTAGTGATGGAAACTGCGTGAAGCATGTTCGAGCATATTCATGGCATCATTTAGCATTTCGTGAAGATTCTCTTATTCCAATAATCGCTAGAAGATGCTGGGATGTTGAAAGGAAAGAAAAAGAATAATGCAAACTTGACACAAAGAGAAAATGATCATTGGGAGGCGTCACAAGCTGCTCGAAATATTACAGCATTCAATCTTAGTTGTCCTCACGCAAACCTTGAGAACAATTTGGTAAATAACAATACTTAATATTATTATAAGTACCCCAGGCCTTGGCTAACTTTTAGCTTCCAATATCATACATTCTCCAAAAATGGCGACGCAACCACACGACTTAACCGTCGTGGCAGCCCTGTTCAGTGCCATCGAGGAGCGCAATGCGCTTCTCGAAACAATCAAGAGTAAAGACGCGATGTTGGAAGCATGCCAGGCACAGATATCACAGCGCATGAAAGAGAAAATACTGTGTGAAAAGGCTCAGAAGAAGTTGGCAAAGTATGAAGAGCTGCTCAAGAACAATGGTCTAGAAGGAGTGGAGGAAGTTATTGGCAAGCTGGAAGATCTGAGTGAAATGGTGGAGAAATTGAAATTTAGGACAGGAAAGGCAGAAGAGTCGGGAAAGGATATTGAGGATAGTTGATGACTCTTAGGTGATATTGAGAGGTGATTAGTTGGGATTCCTCAACGCAAGAAGTGTTAAAGAGGAAGGATGGGAAGATATGTGGTAATGATTATTCTATCACGGTCTTGAGCTTAATCTTACGAAGTGACAGCTGCAACGCCTGTGAGACTGACTTTCATTGAAGCATTTGAAAATATTAATCGACGAAAAGCGTCAATGAGGCAATGAAGTTTTTAAAACCCATAAATTGGGCGGTGAAAGAATAGGAATATTTCTCGACAGGAAAATCTACTGGAATATTTCATTTGGTGAAGTAATCTTTGACTTCCGTTCCCCTCTCAAGCTAAATATTTTTGGATGATAGATGATACCTACCCAATTTAGAGGCCAAATCTTCTAGTTGTGGCACAAGCAGTTCAAGCTTCAAATCCACTTCATTAGTAGCCCAAGAGACAAAATATAACGCGCCCATATCAAAATCCTGAAAACATCATGCCCTGTTGAAAACGATGCTGACTGTAGATCAAAAGCACGCAGTCTGTATTAAACAAAAACATCGTACCTATCGAATAAACAACTCCTATCGCACAAATCAACTTCGAATACCCGTTTTAACTGCGCAAACACCGCGTATAATACCAACCTCAGTCATAATCTGACCCATCTGAATGCGCTTCCATAACGTAAAAGGAGGTTTAACGATTCAAGAGCGGAGAACAAAATCCGCAAGATATCGCATACAAGTGAGGCGCAGTTTGGGAAATAGAAAAGATTCGCGAGTATGGAGAAGGTTTGCGAGTATTCCATTATTGGATGGTAAAGAAGTTCCGCAGGAAAACTAACAAGACAATCGTAAGTGGATGAGTCAAATGATGCTTAGCTTCTCAATCATACCCTTCTGATGCCATAAGTATAACTTTATTCAATACGAATCTTCTTTGCGCTACAATATCCTTGATGATTTCTTTAGTTTGTTGAAGAATGCTTGAAAGAAAGAGCACTGACTCTGATGTCGAGTATATATAGGCGCTTTTGTATCGTTGCCATTCGATGAGGTCATTATACTGTGCCGTGGCTTGTCGAACGCCATCGATTTGGTATACACTGTGACTTAATATGAGAGGTCGTCAATTGTTGCTATCTTTTACAATAGTGAAACTCACGAGGCAGTAGCAGATTTTGTGACCTTGCTGGAATCAACGGATGATATGCCAGTACGATACAGCAGACCATGAACTTTATGATACTACACCCTGCGAGAATTTGCGCAGTGGTATATCGCACAATGACAAAGCGATGAGCCCACAACCCTGAGGCAATACAATATTCATCCACCCAAGCATTCACCTATTCACCGCTCTCGCTTCTACTATATATATTTCGAAAAGCTTCGTTCCAACACATTAGGCGTATGCATGGGAATTGCAAAGTGGTGTGGTGCAGTGGTTTGATTCCACTCTTGACGATTCAACATCGTGCAACGCATTCACACAGAAGGTCCCCGCAGGCAAATACCAGAAGAACTAATTACTCTTCCAACGGGAACTCCGCCCTAGGAAGAGGGGCAGCCACCTACGGCTTGTTACCGTACTCAGTGCTCACACTGAGAATCTATGTTTTGCTATTTTTGATGCTGGATTTTTGGAATTTTTGGCGCAGCGAGGATAGAGTGGGTGGGGCCGTGTTGGTTGAGGTGGTGAATTGAGGTTGTTTGATTGGATGCGAGTTGTGGTGTCGTTGTCGTCGTCTCGCTTCGCGGTTCTTGTCGCGCTTCAAATTTTGCCGCGTTTATGTTTCTTTACTTTACCCAAATTTGAAAACCTTTGCTTTCCGGATACAAAGATTTTGCTAGTACGCTGAGCTGTCCAAAAAATCTCAAAAAATGTCTTTAATTGTCAAGTGTCATGGAGTGAATGAAGCGACCAAAAACAAGACTGCTTTGACTTGGTATCACATATTTTGCGGTATATCCAAGACTTGACAGTATACCATGGATTGAAATATTTTTCATGAAATTTATCCATGCATATTTGTTTCTAGACATGTTGTAGCTCCAATTAATTCGTAAATATTCCCTTCCTTCCCGATGTCCTCGCTTCGCATCATGAGATACCCCACTTCTTTAGATCATCTGTTTGAGAGTTACAGAAGACGATATTTGACGAGAGCCTCGAAATTTGAGTCAATTTCCTGTATGATTGTCCACGATAAATTTAGTTGATACTAGACGTGGGCGATGGATGAAAGAAAAGTTTCCATGTCCAAACATGATAGTTATGGCCACGTTCATACTGCTCAATTATCCATAAAATGTAAAATGTACCTCATCCTTCCATTTCCATATCCAAATCCTCATCATCCTCATCATTCTCTTCATCCTCATCATCCTCTTCATCCTCTTCATCACTTTCCTCTTCCCCCGCCACAAACCACCAATTTCTCCCCTCATAATAATCCGCATTCCCATTCTCCCTCACCTGCAACCTCAACGCTCTCTTCAACTCATTTTCCTTCCTCCACAACACACCCTCACAGGCCCTCAAATTCTTCTTATAATCCTGATGTGACCGTACTACTTTTCGCAACACAGCCACTTTCCTCATTCTTTCTCTTCCATCTCTTCCCTTTCCTCCTCCCACGTCTAATCTCATCAATGCGACATGGAGTTCTCGAGAGTATTTCTTCTTGTCTTTCGTGACTTGTCTCGTGTTGTCTTGGGTATATTTTAACATGCCGCAGATTTCTCTATAGTGCATTTCTTGAGAATTCAAAGGGATATCGAGGATTTGGAGGGTAGGAGTGCTGAAAGGTGAGGAGGGATTTGGCTGCATGTCGTTGAATGATGGGGACCAGGTTTGGGCGGGACGCAATGTCATTTTGGAAGAGAGGTTTGGATTGAGATGCTATGGGCGAAATATTGGGGGAAGTGATCAAGATGTAGTGAGTATTAAGAAACGATTTCGATGAGAGAATAGTGGAAGCTGATTTTGAGCCTTCGAGATTTGCCATTGATTTTGTTTCAGACTTTGGAATTGGTAGCAAGTTCAATCTTCCAGCAGCTTCTAGATAAACTTGTGGGAGGGGATGAAGACCAGAATGGAATGCTCACGCAGAAGATCTGAAGGATCATCGGAGAAGGCACAACGTGGTTTCTATCATAATTCTAAATTGAACTTCGAGTTGATTCTATTCCAAGAAAGAGACGGTTCAATCTCGGTCGTTGACCCAAGTTATTCGTGGCAAGCCACACCTGAAAAATTTTCTTGTTTCTACATCTAGTAGAAATTTTAAGTGTTGAATCTATCTTCACACCTGATCCTCGGCTGTTCATTTACAACCTTTCATGTCTCCCAGCAGACCTCGTGATTTTTGTTTCCAAGCCCTAGTACCCCCCATCCATAAACTGTGCTTGCGCTCTTCATCAGGATTCTTGAAATTCTCAATACTCGGCCCAACCAACTAACATATTCCTATCGCCAGAATCAACGCGCGTGACTGTTTTGTGTATTTTTCTGCCGGAGGGGTAATTGCTTGCGCTTTGCCGGCCCCATAGCCGACGGGTTATCAGAGTCAGAGTCAACGTAGTCCCGCACACGTCTCTTTACAAACTGTTCTTTCCGGAGCTTGGCCGCCCTTTGCTCCGCACTTTCCTTCTCAGCTTCCTTCGATTCGCAATGAGTCTTGAGCAAACGATTCTCTGCTTCTTCAAGGGCCCTGTCAAGCTTTTCTAGACAATAGTAAACCGATTGAATTACAAGAGGCCCCCGTGCCAATTCTCCCCTCGTTGATTCGTCTGATTTTTGGCCTCCATGGTCCCTCGACTCTTCTTTCTTCTTCATCTCCTTATACTCTTCCCAGTTTTTTCTCCCCTTATCTATTCGCTCCGCTAGGATTTTACCCCAATTCTGCCACTCTTCAAGGCTATGCTTCTTGTTCACAAAATCCTTTACCTCATCTACATGTTGCCTTTCTTTCATGATTTCGGCCACAAGGGCTGAGGTCAGTGTATCAGTCGAAATTTTGGTTTCTGAAATCGGCTTGAGTCTGGGCCACTCATTACTAGGCAGAATACATGCTCGAAGCGTTTCGTGTTCATCATTACCAACCGCGCGATGAATACCTGCAGGTATGTCCTGGATTTCTTGTTTGATGATAGCTGGATCGATCTCATGATGTGAATCTCCAAATCGATCACTTCCTCGGCTTTCGCTTTGTTTCCGTCTTTCTATTTCTTCGCGTTCTCTCTTGCGTTCCGTCCACTTCCTCACAACTTCTTTATATCTCCGTCTTGAATCGTGAGACTTATCATTCACTCGAGGTCGATAAGGAAGTGTGGATTGTAGTTGCCTGATTCGCGCCTCTTCTGCAATATCATGTCGCTTGGGATTTCTACGTATCGCAGGCCTATAACAAAGTGACTTCATACGAGTTTTCTGTATAGCCTGTGGAGAAGCCTCTTCAGTAGCCGGGACACAGGGTACTGCTGGTCTGAGGACAAGCGACTTAGTACGATTTCCCCACACGACTTGTGAAGAAGCCCTTTCAGCATCCAAGACACCGGATATAGCAGGCCTGAGAACAAGCGGCCTAGTATAAATATCCCCCCCAAACCATGAAGAACTCTCTTCCACATCCGGGAAGCCAGACACAGCCGGTCTGCGAACCAACGGTTTGGAATGCGAAAGCCATGTAGATTGTTGAGAAGGCCATTCAACAGCAGTGAAAAACGATTCCTCCTAATAAATGTCAGACATCATCGAGACGAACGATCATGGATGAAATACATACATATCCATCCCCGCAATCCATCATCTCATCATCATCCTCGAAACGCATAACTTATCCAATCCTACCAATCTCGATAGTTTGTTTTGCGAAATGCAATTTCCATCCATCCATACATACGAGAAGTAAATAAATAATCCAAAAGACTAAATGAAACAGTCCAGGAATCAAATGGTCACCTTGGTGGACTACTAGCATGAAACCCAGAGGAAAAGTAAAGTGTTTCTCCCAGAGACAAACTGGTTCCCGAATCTTCGATCCAAAATCTAGAGGAATCGAGATGATGCTTGGTGTCGAATGTGATTCTGTGTGAATATGACACTACTACATCTAGATGAACAAGTTACCACACATGTGGAAATGCGAGTTCCATCTCTTCCAGACAGTAGACAACTAGCGAATAACCACCCCGTAATACCTCACTGCAGATATCACATCACATCTCCAATCTTCCAACACCAAACATAGCAGATCTAGTCTAGTCTAACCTCGCTCCTTCTCTTAGATATGAATCTCCTATGAACATCGCGAAGCATTAAAGAACGTGACCATAAACAAGTACCTATTTCATAACAATACTAATCGAAAATTCCACGTTCCCTAAGCATCAATCTGCACGACGAGAAATCCATGGATTCAGCAAGTATTTGTCTTAATTGATTGATAGCTCAGTGAATCCTCCTACCCCGTGATTTTCCTTTCTATTGCTATCCATATTGCCTTCTTCCTTGTGATTCATATACTCGAGTGGATAGGTCAGATATGCAAACCCCAACACAGCACGACACAGCACCAAAAAACCCACATACACACATTTAAAACCACAGTCTATCCATCCACCAACACAAACCTCTTCTAAAACCCGCAGCCACCCACGAATGAAACCTTCACCCTGCATTACCTGCAAACAACGACAAAAAACATACACCACATCCCCATCTTATCAAACAAGAAACCGCCACAATACCGAGAACCCGGGTTGGCTGTGATCCAAGCGTATTTAAGTTTATTATTCATGCAGCCTTATCAAACCAAACACCGTCACAATAATCTCTTCACCAATTCCCCCAAACCCTGATTCGTTGGAATTTACCCGCACAAATATTTTGTGTTTATCATTTCACCACTAGATAGACAAACCATCTACACCGTAACATAAACAAACATTCGAGATAGGAATGTTGAACCAAATCGATATATACCTACTGGAATGTGGACGGTTATCGGATCCTCGCGCGACCCTAGAATAGGTAACTTTTCATCGTCAGGGGTGTACGTTTTCTACAACTACAGGAGTACCCTCTTTCTTCTGCAATAAAGATAGAGTATGTATGTACCTAACGCAATAAAGTTTTGTAGAATAGTAAAAAGAATCTACTGTCGAATAATCATACTTTATTTTTCAAATTTCTTCGCATTCAATTCAATTCAATCCAATCCAGCGCAAAAGTAAGAAAAAATTGTTTACTGCTCTGATCAGAGAAGTGTAGAGTATCAACGGAAGCAAACACCTAATGTGAAGAACTATTTCTGATAAGATTGAAAATTAAAAATAGAAAACAAATAAATCGAAAAGGAATGGTACACATGAGAGTCAAATACAAGGTTTAGCTAAGCCATTAGACTTCGCTTCGTTCAAATCTAAATCTGAAACTTATCTCTTGGATTTTAGTTCTTTTCTATTTTTGACTTTGGTCGAATAAGTTGCTCCTTATTGAGTATTTGCTTTAGTTGAACTTGTATCGAAGAGATAACGTAGCTCCTTTACAAGAGTGATATGTGTTATCTATAAGACAAAACGTTCTCGCACGTTTCTTACTCTCTTGAGGATGGTAGTAAAGTATCAATTGGTGTATCATGTAGATAGTGAAAGACTAATCACTCAATTCCAGATTCAAGTGACGATGATGGTTCTATCTCTAGGCTGGGTTTTTGTCATACACTTCACTAGCAGTATGGGCCCTGCAGCTGAAGGAACATACTTCAGGTGGAAATTCGTGATGTATAACCAAACATGAGTATAAATCCCGTGACGCTTAAAGGACTATTTGAACACCACTAGACCCCCCAAGTTAAGTAAGACAAATTATGATGACATAAAGTAGGTTTCGGCAAGGTGCGTACCGAATAGACTACTGTTGGTAGCAGCAAGCCCATTGCAGCGTAATGTATTCCCAGAGTAAGTTCGCTGGAGTATTTCCGCTGGGCTATTCCCATGAGAAACCTTGTTACAACAGCTGGTGGCAAGACGAAGAAAAACAGTGCACTTGCGTATTCTTATCTTAGCTGTCGACGAGCAGAATTATGATGTGATGAAGCTTTCGTGATGTGGAAGAGCATCTCAAGAATGCCGCATCGTTTAGGAAGAAAAGTGAACACGTGAGCGGGCCGATCGGATTTGCACAACCTCCAGCCATTGGTCCGTCGTATCCGATGTTTGAAATATTTGAATTCTTTTTTCAAAGCCCAAACAATCAAGCGACTCATTAATTAACTTGAGGCTGAATCTGTTCCTTACATCAAACATATCGACGACTATGACTTCATAGGTAATTCTTGCTTGTTTTGAGGCATGATCCTGTAGATACCTCGCAAGTGTGCTACTTTGGAGTAGTAGCATAAACTTTATACAGACAATGCAAGGATGAATAGGCATAACAAATAGGATAAATAAAGGTGGTAATGCAAGCAACGAATGGCAATGCGGTACCTTGATTTAGTCAGGGGTAAAGTATGCCAAGGAGCGGCGGTGGAAACAGTTTGTTAACGGCATAAAGGAGATGGATGGCTCAGCCCGTATCTCTATTAGGTCGATTCTATCGTATCGTTTTGCGTTGGTTTTCTTCTAAAACCAGAGCCAGTGATTGATGATGGGTGGTCATTAGAGTAGTGCGCGGTCTTAGAGGTTGAGATTTATTATGAATGATTGAGATGAAGGAAATGAAAGATGAGGATACGACTCATACGAGCGATTGAGATTGGGTTGTTGTCGATCTGATTTTGAATTGATTTGGTCTGGATGTTCTTAACTTCTTGGGGGGTTTGTGGTGAGATATATTTAGAGTTACTGCATTCGTATTATCTGTTTAGCTGGCCCACGTTGGATGTGGGATGAATGTGGAAGTTAAAGTCGCACATCATCAGGCGGGTGAAAACAGTTGGAAGTTGTGATGGCAACGTGGAAATATCTTGATTTCGTATACTTCAATGGCTGCGCAACCTTGAAGCAAGGAACAACCAACGAGGATTGAATCGAATGGTAGTCAGTCATGCTTCTCCACAAGTTATGATTTGACCGTGTGAGCATTACCCAGTATCCACGATTAATACAGTGTAACTGGAGAATCCTGCTCTGCTGTAGGACATTTGTGTGGTGGCAGTTGAAGCTGGGTCATCTGGATTCTGAGTGGCACGAAACAGGATGGATATCGGAATTCTTGAGGGAATTTTCCTCGTCAGCCTTTCAACAATTCTACCTACCACGCATTCCCAAGCTGTCACTACTGGACCCCCAAATCCCTCACTGCAATGTCATGCCATGCCATGCCATGCCATGCCATGCTATGTGGCCCATGATGAAAACAGCATGATCATGGATTTATCATGGATTCATCATGCTGTTACCCCACTGTGAAAACAAACTATTACCATGCTGTTGTGAGATTAAAATTTGAGACTCGTCATGAACCACGACTGAAATCAATAACTCCCAAATCCCCAGATCACAGATCACGACATGGAAAAATTATCTATCGTGATTGTTATCTTGACCCATCAAGCTTGAATAGGAGACTTGTCAAAATCACGAGGACCGTCTCCAGCCCAGCCGTTGAGAACTTTAGATAGGATGGATGTTGAAACGATACCCCTGAGTTTGTGAACGGTCTCGATTCCACCACTTCCTAGGGAATCAAGTATCAGAAAACGTACCTTGGGACGACACGATAGAAATTTGCATGGGGATGAAGATGAACGACAAGCTCACGCTACTGCGTACCTCAGTCACTCAGTCACTCAGTCACTCAGTCACTCAGTCACTCAGTCACTCAGTCACTCAGTCACTCAGTCACTCAGTCACTCAGTCACTCAGTCACTCAGTCACTCAGTCACTCAGTCACTCAGTCACTCAGTCACTCAGTCACTCAGTCACTCAGTCACTCAGTCACTCAGTCACTCAGTCACTCAGTCACTCAGTCACTCAGTCACTCAGTCACTCACTCAGTCACTCACTCACTCACTCACTCACAGGCTCAGCGGTAAAACTTGAACAAATTCTCGCCCGTAGTCCCTGAAGTGCCTCCCTGATATCTATCGAGGGATTGGCCTTGGGTAAGATGAAACTAGGGCACGGGACTCTGTTCTAACTTCTAGGGTTGGACAATATCCCGAGACCGAATATTGAAAGATCTCCGACCATCTTCTCCAAGCTTTTCCAGATCTCTAGGTCTCTACTCCAGAAATGGGAAGAATCAGTGGAGATGTTGGAGATATTTTACTGCTGGAGGTTATTTGATTACGTGCTCTTCATCTCACATCCAGTGGCGTAGCCGAAATTAGAGGTTTGGAAGAAAAGACCAAATGTAGAAATGTTTCCTTCTGGTTCAATGAAGTGGAGATGTTTCGGTGGGAAGGGACGGAATTCTCTTGAAAGATGGGAATTGATTTATTGCAGTGATTATGGGATGGGAGTGGTAGGTGAATTGTGAGTGGTAAGAATGAAAATGGGCGTTGTTAATGGGATGAAGGGCAAATGGATTGAATGATTTATGGAGAGGTGAATTGGAGCATTGGAGCATTGGAGAATTGATTGTCAGATGGTAAGGTCTAATTAGAATGTGTAGATTGGTAGGATCAGGAGGTATGTACTATATGGATCGGTAGTATATCATAGATGATAGATATTACAAAGATATTACATAGATAATACATCGATAATACCTGGTAGATAATAAATAATACTATAATTAGATATAACGTGGTTTAACATTGAGTGCACCATATCACCAAATACACCACTTTTATCTCAATTTGTATTCTTTAATTTTAATATA